CGGAGGAGGAGTTTCACATTTCCTCCGACCATCTGGGAGCATCAACCAGCTCCCCTTTTGATGATGATGATCTATTAGCGGATGAGATAGAGTCTCCCGCCATTCCATTGTGTATCGAGGCTCCCCATTCATCCTCGGCTCTCATGATCGTAGAGCCCTCCCCCCACCTTACATCACTCCCTTGCCCACCAGCTCGACCCCTTCTGACCCTCCCTCCCACTTCCCCCTCATCCCTCGCTAGCGGGTCTGATCCGTCTTCCCCACAGGGACAGGCGCAGAGCTCTGAGGGATTGGAGCACCTACAGCTCATCCTCTTACCCCAGGATTTTCCCCCTATACGAGGGGGACCTTCCCAGGAGATCCCAGAGCACCGGAGACCACAGACCAGATCGATGACTGCGCAGCTCTCTGCCAGACGAGTTCTGACCCTACCAGACATACAGACTCATCCTAACCACGGACAACTCCAGTTAGGCAGTCCCACTGACGTTTGACATGTCAGTCACATCGCTTACATGGAATGCCCGTGGTCTGGCTAATAGGACCACCCTTGCTCATGTTAGATCTCTCATTCGTGAGCATAACCTTGACTTTGCGATTTTCTTAGAGCCTATGACTCGTGACCCTTCTTTTGACGTATATTCACGACGTTTTGGCTTTCATGCCGGGATGGGAAATACTTCTAACAAGATTTGGTTTTTCCACTCGCGTGACTTTACATGTCAGATCCTTCGAGATACTAATCAAGTCTTGCACGTGAAGCTAACCACCGCCCACCTTCCGGAGCTGATCTTCCACACCTTGGTTTACGCCAGCTGTGCGAGGGTTGGTCGCTATGACCTCTGGGACACCGTGCGTGAGATTGCTGAGAGTATGGAGGGAACCGTGGATGATTAGCGGTGATTTCAACATATTCTTGCATCCCGATGAACGCATTGGTGGTGTATCAGACCGCTCTGCAGAGATCTTAGATTTCTCGCATGCTGGTTCGGATTGTGAGCTCATCGATGTTGGTTATGAAGGGGCTCCCTTTACGTGGGAGAGGGCCGGAGTCAAGGAGAAGCTTGACCGCGCCCTCTACTCAGAGGCGTGGACGAGGGTGTTTGCGACCACGGTTGTAACGCACCTTCCTTGAATTGGATCCGACCATGCCCCCCTTCTGATTCGTTGTCGGTTCTCTATTTTCCCTCGGCGAGCGTCCTTCCGCTTCCAGAAAATGTGGGTCCGCCACCATTCTTACTACGATACTGTTAGAGCCTCCTGGCAGCAGGCTACGCACCTCTATGGGATGCGCAACGTAGAGGAGAAGCTCATGAGACTCCGCCGCGTTTTGAAGCAGTGGAACTGGACGATTTTTGGTGACATTTCTCAGCACCTTACTGCAGCTCAGACTGCATATGCGGAGGCGGAACAGACCTATGATTTGGATTCTTCGCCAGAGAACAGGTCCGAGATGCACCGCTGCCATGCTGAGTACCAGTTGCGCCTCCTCATGGAGGAACATTTCTGGAAGCAGAAGGCTGCTGTGCGCTGGGTGGCTGAGGGGGAGCATAATACCAAGTTCTTCCAGGGATTCGTGAGACAGAAGCGAGTCAAGTCGTATATCTATAGTGTCGAGGATAACGGGTCATCCGTAACCCAGGAGTCCCAGATACGGGAGTCGGCTAGGGCTTACTTCCACTCTCTCTTTTCCTCTGAGCGGGATTTGCTTACGCACCCCGACCTGACCCTCTTTCCGACCATCCCACAGTCGGTCGATCTTGTTGACCTCTGTGACCTCCCGAGTAAGGAGAAAGTCAGGGAGGCTGTGTTTGGGATAGATCCCAACAGCGTCTCCGGACCGGATGGTTTTTCGTCCCTCTTCTTCCAATCTTGCTGGGAGATTGTGGGTACTGACGTAGAGGAAGCTGTGAGGGATATTTTCTCTGGCCACCAGATGCCAGAGTCCTTCACGGCAACCTCCATCATTTTGATCCCGAAGAGATCGGGTCCTAGTTCTTGGTCTGACTATAGACCTATCAGCTTATGCAACGTGACTAACAAGATCATTTCTAGAATCCTCAACAGCCGCCTCGCCCCTCTCCTCTCCCACCTTGTCTTTCCGAACCAGAGTGGATTCATCAAGGATCGAGTCATTAGTGATAATATCCTTCTGGCTCAGGAGATGATACACGACATCTCTCATGCGAATCGAACACGAACCCCGAACCTCGTGCTGAAGCTAGACATGGCCAAAGCATATGATAGGGTCGAGTGGTGGTTTCTCAGAGAGGTACTGTTTCGGATGGGTTTCCCTAACCGTTGGATTAGCTTTGTGGAGGCATGTGTGGAGCACTGCACATTCTCC